ACGATGAAGGCCAAAATCGGGCCGATCGCCAAAACGGTCGCACGACTCAAAAATCGGCTCAAAATGGGCCAAAAATCGCACAGTGTGAGCCCAGCATTAGTCACTCATAAATAATATGGAAAACTCTAATGTTAAGGCATTAAAAATGGATTTCATAAAGGAATGAATTCGCCATAGAGTGTAAATAGACAGATTCTTTATTGCAATTCAATCTTTATTGGCAGACTTCATGTCCGTAAAAACAAGACAGAACCCCCCCCAATTGGTTTATTGATCACGCAAGGGAAATTGCCGTATTGCAGCAACACCATAAGAAGTAAAAATAAAAATTGTATAATCCACAATAAAAACAACATAGGCTGTGTAACAATGTCATTTAAGGTCCATACTGAAGGCCTAGTAATGTGAGGTAGTCCAAAATTTCACATACTACAGTGATTAAAAGAAACTAATACCATAATGAAAAGTCACACTTTATTTTATTCATTTCTATACAGGCAATCGCGTAAACCAGCCCTGTACGTCTTTCCTGGGTCCCTCGCAGCAACACCCTTCCAAGATGGCAGCCAACAGTAGCAGCACGGGTAGCAAATCCAGCAACAGCAGCGGTGGGAAACAGTCCGGCCCGTCAGCTGAACAGGTACCCTCCCCTCCACCTCAGGCTGCTTCACCGGTGCAGTCGTTGATATTGTTGTCGTTGGGCCGTGTGCGGTGGAGTTACAGCCACCAGTTTGAGTCCCGGATAGCTAAAGCTAACGTTAGCTTCCCATCGCCGTCATGGTCTGCTCTCTAACAAGCAGCTGCTGTTAAACATAAAGATTTAAGCGTTCATATAGTGAGCTGGGGTCAGGTGTGCGCTTCTAGAGCGCGGTTTATGGCTGTTAGACGTATTTAAATGTGCGCGTGTGTGTAAGGAGGTGGTTTGGCTGTGTGAATAGAAGATGCTATTTTTATAACTGAAGACCACCCAGCCCGAATCAATCAACGTGAAGCCACATTACTCAGATATTCATAAAGTACCTGTAACGATGAACTGAGTCTGCCGTAAAAGTCCTGCAGTGTAGCTGCTCTCAACAAAAGTATGTGGAAAGCGATTGATGTGATCAATGCAATGGTTTCATGTGGTGCTCCTGCAGGCTGTCCATCATGGATCAGTTTGCGTTTGTTGGTGTCAGCTGCCCTCTGCTGTCCCAGCGCAGCACAGAACAGCATAGAGTATGGCAGTGACCATCACAGACTCATGCTGAGCGGATATTAAAATACCTCAGTCATCTCAGAAAATAGTGATGGCTGTGTATGTTGTTGTAGAGAACTTATGTGTTTTTAGTGAAGCCTGGTTAATTGTTAATGTGAACATTCCTTGACAGTTTCCACACAGCCCCCACTGGTAGAAACAGGGCTCAGTGGTTTTGATCACCAGGAGGTGTTTAAGTTACTCAAAATTAAAATGCCATTATTTTTATGATATAGCCAAAAAATTACTGAAAATGTGTGAATTTCTGTTAAGTGAGGTTACATAGACTTTTACACCTTAACTATATGTGGATCAGACATGCTTACATGTCCAGTCATCTCCAAGAAACGTGAATATAAAAATAATATGCAATAGCTCTGCTGGTCCATGATGGTGCTCACTGTGGTTTTGTGTGGCAGGTGGTGGCAACATTTCAGAGGATGCGTCAGGAACAGCGCAGTATGGCTTCTAAAGCTGCAGAGTTGGAGATGGACATCAACGAGCACAGGTCGGTACAAACCTTCTGATCCGCTCTAAACAGTTTACATTTACAAAGAAGTTTCATGCGGCAGTTCAAGAAAGAGAGAACTGAACGTGATTTATTGATATACAAAATTCAGTTATGTTATTTGACGACTCCGATGCTACGACAGCAGAATGAAATCCTAGTGGCGATAGACGTTATCTAGGCATCAAGGGTCATGCCTTGACTCTAGGTCCTCGTCAAATTCTAGCTCAGGTTGTAGCTCCAGTGCCCCTCCAGCTCATCGAGGATCTCAGAGCAGAAGTCCAAGATGGTGGAGTTTAATCCATCTGACCATGGCTTGCAACACGCACTGGGAAGCAGCTAAATTATTTTATGGTTTTACTGTGTGCCTTCTCAAATGTACGATGTGTGGCTCAAATGTGTGCGCACACACGTGTACACAGACAAAGCAGACAGATGATAGAAAAACACACACAGCAAGTGTTTATTTCTCACTTCCAGTATTAGGAAACGTTTGCATGTTTGCAAACAGTACTGATTGCAAACAGTTCATTGGCACAACCAGAACAGGTGGCTGGTTTGCAGCAGTTACTTTGGTAACTGAGTTTAAGTAACTGATCTTAAAACGTTTAAATATAAAAAATAAATAAATGCTTAAATGAGGTGTCAGATATACTTGTATGGGTATTAATATACTTGGTGGAAGACCTGATGGCTGAGTCGTTATTCCTGTTATAC